ATGGTTAATTTCTCCTTGTTTTAAGATCCAAGGGGGTTTGGATCTGTGTTCACCAGGGAATTGGTGAAAGGTTTCTCAAGGCTTCCCAGGGAGGGAGTTCTTGAGATGGTGGCAGCGGACCAGAGCTAAGCTGGTAGATAAGCTTAGGAGTCCTCATGCAGGCCCCCACTCTTGTACCCTAAAGTTCAAAGTGGATCTACAGCCTTGACACAAGCCTTGACTACATCATAGGTCCCGCTTTGATATATGAACCACTGCAACAGCTGTGCTCCTCTGGGACAATGCAGATCACTAAGCGCAGTACAACGCATATGAGAACTAAGGACAAACCATTTTCTGTTGAAGGGAATTGGCTATGGAACAATTTTCTAGAGGTGATCTGGCAAATCCAGAGTCTGAATATCTTCATGAAACATTAAAAAGCCTTCCTCTTTGAGAAAGCCTTTCATCTATAAGTGATACTCACAGTTTGACCACCACTTTTATTCCCAACCTCATCTCCCAAAAACAAACTACATCAAGCAGAGAGTTTCTGACCCTGTAAAGTGAGAAGTGCCAACGTTTCCATGAAATCCTCTAGAAGCTTCACTATTCTATAGATTTATGTGGAAGGCACTCAGATACTATAGTTATGAGAGGCAGTATAAAACTCTAAGAAAGCTAAATTGGAATATACTTTATCCATTTTGGCAGTCTTTGAACAGAATCGTCTTGGGCTTTGCTCTTCAAAAACCAGAAATCCACTAAATTTATTTATGGAACAGCTTTGATTCCAGTCAGGTAATAACTGAGTAGCCCGTGTAATCTGGCCTCCTCAGTAAATCAAGAGGTTAGAGGAGTGAAGACTTGAAGCAAAATAAAATTTGTGAAAGTAGAATAGTATGAATACTCTATGGAAAAAATTAGACTATGGTTGGAAAACAAACATATTGTTGTGAAAGATGATATAAGGAAAGCCAGCATTATGGATGTCACCAATTCTCCTAGCTCAAGTGATGGTAACTAATTTTCAATGGCGGGGTAGGTGCTCAGAATAGCCGGAAAAAAAAAAAAAATCAGTCCACTTATTTAAGTGCTTT